ACTGTAAAACATAAATAAATAAAAATAATAATCTTATTACTTCACAGCTGTTTTAGACCCACCATCCAGTTTACTTGTAAAAATACAGTCAGAGATGGTTAACTTTTTCTGGAGCGGTCGACATTGGGTGCCGCAGTCTGTCCTGTTTTTAACAAGAGGGGAGGGGGGGCAGGGCCTTGTCCACCTGGCCGGTAGAACGGCTACCTTTCGTTTACCGTACCTTTAGAGGTTCCTGACAGGAGACCATGTGTGGAGGGACGTGGCCAGCTGCATTCTTAGACGTGTAAACTTTCTGGGGCTGGATGCTGCTCTGTTTTTAACAGACTTTAGTCTCTTAAAGATAAGAGGGTTGCCTCAATTTTATCAAAGTGTTTTTAAATCATGTGCTTTTTTTAAGCTGCAAAGATCAAAACGCATAAATCTCTGCATTAGCTTTGAGAAGAACCGCTGGTGTTTGGAGCGAGGCTGGACGTCCACGACAGCACCGCCTTTCTGAGGCGTGGTCCAGGTCCCAAGCGGTGACCCTGTGGCATCTGGTGCAGGTCGCTGGACCAGATTTTTCAAACGTCGAAGGGGTCCGGTCCAGCAGATTGGCACGGCGCTTTCTAGAACGAATTAAAGAACGGATGACAGATGGGGAGAGACGACTCCTACATCTGTATGTCACAGAAAAGCGCCTGCCTGACCTGAATGACCCGTTCCCGGACGTGTTCATGGATTTGGACTTTGAGGAGGACATCAGTCCCCTGCTGCAAAATGTGATCCCAAGGATGGAATTATGCAAGACGGACCCAAAAACACTGTACAAAAATCCTTAACAAGAGAACTCTCCACAGTAGAGCAATGAGTGTCTGAATTGACCAACTTTGAGGACAAAAACCTCAGTGGAGGACTCTTTACAAGCCTCTGATAAAAAAGGGACCTTCAGTGGAGGATACTTCACGGCGCCATCGCGTCAAACTCGTTTTTTATCAGTCATCAGTCCGGGGGTTTTAAATGACTGTGTGTTAATGGAGAGTGTGTTGGATTGTGTACATCTGACTGGTTTTTAAAATTTTTTAGATTGAGTGTTTTTAGCCTTTTTGGTGTGGTTTTTACCCCTTCCATTTTTATCAACGGCGTGCATTACAGTCGAGCCACTTTCAAATCCCGGATTTTAAATTATTTATTCTCTGAAGCAAAAATGGCTATTTATTTGACTCAGATGGACAAACTGCAGGCAGGACCTCAGCTTGATGTAGTGGCTCTGTGGAAGTGGAACATCAAGGCCAGATTGAGGCTGGAGTTTTGCTTCCACAGAGCCACTGGGGATTTGAAGGGTTTTTTACAACTGCAGGGTTTTAATAGTGTTTTGTGAACCAGTTCTGATGAGGGAGAGCTAAAATGAAAAAGCTGCTAATGTATTGTTGACCTTAGTTTTTAACTGTTTTTTGTTCAATTATTGTTCAACAAATGTTTTGTTAAAAATCTAAAATCTTAATTTTCCATTTTAAGTCCAACCAGCGCCATTTCTTGGCGCTGAGTCTGATGGGTGGTTTTTGGTCGTGCAGTGTGAGCAGGTAGATCGCATCAGTGCGTTCCGTCGCACAGCGTGAGAACAAACATCATGAGCTGTGAACTTTTAAACCCTGCGGTTTTATCGTACAGTGTTAGCTGTAGCGGCGTGCAACGACTGAAAATATCGCACAGTGTAAGCCCGGCTTTATGAGAATGAGAAAACCCAAGGTACATAAATGTCTGATAGTTCATCTGGTCTGCAGTAATAATTTCCTTAAGCTCTTACCTTTTCTAATTCATGTCAAAACCATTTCCTCTGATTGGTCGGTATATATTTTCTGACACATCAGACAGCGACCAGCGGAAAACTACTTTTCATATGCGTGACCTTAGCTGTTTTTGCTGCCTCCCCCAGCAAGTCACTGGTTGTAAGAATCCTCTCTCCATATGGTACGGATACATGAGTGAGTCTTTGGGGTAGAAGAGTAGTCATTTGTAGGTCAAAATGGCACAAACTGCAGAGTGTTTCTCTCTATGGGACTGAAGAACATTGATTTCTCCTAAAGTGGCTGAACGGACAGTCCTAGAGAGTAAATGGAGTGATTCTTCATCTGTTAAGACACAGGTCATGTTCTATAGGGTGTGAGAGAACACTGACCTTCAGCTAACAATCCACACTCACAGACAGAGGACTGTGAAAATCCTGTTTCTACCCCAGGAGGCTGCTAAGTATTCCCCTGAGGCCTAACCTTGAAAGATAAAGAATATGTTGATAATATATCATTATGCTGAAGGAAGTGTAATCAACCCTAATTACCATGCGTACAGAGGATTTTCTTCAAAAGGTCTGGTTGAATAATCTACCTGGTTTTTTCTGAAGCTGCTGTTTAAACATGAATCTCACAGGGGAGACTGAGCTGGGGCCGCGGCCTCACAGCTGGAAATATGAGGGCAGGGGATTCGAACTTCAGCGCAGAGGAGGCTAAAATAAACACAGCTATTTGCCTCAGTGAGGGCTAAACATGGCAGTGGGGGGTTCTTCAATCTGCACACGCTGCATATAAAGCTACTTAAAGCTTAGAAGAGAAGGGCTTCTAAGGTGATCTGGGTGTAAAGTACAGAGGTACGTCTGAATGGGTTGCATTTATGATACAGACAAGTTTTATTTTTAATTGATTAAGAACCTGCAGCAAACAATGCTTCTCATAATAATGAATCAGGAGGGGTGAATATGGATGTATGACACAAACCGTACAAAAAAGTTTCCCTTCTTTGAACTGAAAAATTATTTTTATTTATGTAAAATTGGAAAAAACTATGAGCACATTGAGCAGCAATCCCTCACACCAAGCATGCTTGTAGTGACAGTGGAGAGATAGCAGACATAGAAAAAGAAACATAGATACAAAAGGCAACTGTCAACCAGCTCCACAGGCGGCCCCGTCCAGGAAACACACAGCCAGGCAGACGAGCTCCGAGCCAGCTCCCATGTCAGAGGATGAAGAGAGCACATCCAGTTAGTCACAGTCAGAGAAACAGGACTACACTGGAAAACAGGCCAAGCTCCAACATCTAGAAACAAAGGTGTTGATGGCAGCAGCACAGCTGATATTTCTCTCCAGGATGGAGTCACAGCCAAACAGGAACAGAACAGAGGAAACTAATACAAGAAAAAGCAGAGAGAGCAGAACGTTAGAGATTGAACTAACAGATTCTGCAGAGTGGGAGAATAGAGATAGAATGAAGCAGAATGATGAAAAAGTCTGTATTTAATCATCATCTAAGTTGAACTAAAACAACATCTCTGTTGATTAATGTCTCCCACCCTTTATGAATAACAGCTTTATTAGGATTTTATGACGTATGCATATGTAGAATACCTATAATCTGTCATCTTGGTCATACACCACTGGTTAGCTCCTGTGTTTTCTATGGTAGAATGACCCAGTTCAAAATTAAATGGCATCCCTGGGACTGAAAACAGACCAAAAAGAAACAACCGAGCTGCACTGACCAACACACAAGGGAAAAAGAGAAGCAGGTGATTCTTCAAGAACAAAAAACTCTGACTGAATCCTGTCAGCAGCTGTCTGTCAATGTTTAGCTTTAAGAGAGCCGTTTCTGCACAACCTGTGAGCATAAATGAAGACATCTGCTTCTGATTGGTGTGTTTCCAAACACCCAACCTCAGCCCATCCCTAATGGAGACCACCTGCTGCTCTGGGTTCAAACCAAGTCTGCAGACCTCAGGAGTCAGTCAGGGCGGCACAGCGGAGAGCATCCAGGACTGACAGCTGCATGGAGAGCACACATCAGCCTTATAGGGGCTTCAAAGATGTACTTTTAACACTTTATAGGGCACTGTGAAATACTTTAAAATCAACATTTCCTGCCAAAAGTGTTATTGGAATCCAGGACAAGACCTTATTACCTTTGAACATTAAAAAAATATGGATATTTTGATGACAAAAATGAATGTCGATGTAATAAATAGAAAAACCAACAAGCCCGAATATATTAAGAAAAATAACAAAAGTGCTTCTATAAGAAATTCATGAAAAACGCTTTTGGTCCAACATAAACTTAGAGGCATTAATGCTGATACTGGCTCTGACATTTTTTAGTTTATAAACCTAAATATCATTGTTAACTAGGCTTTCTTGACTTGTTAACTTTTTTCATCTTAATTTCCAGTAGGTAATCTATCATTCAAGGGCTCGTCTAATTGGTCAAATGTCAAAATAAGATGTACAGCCATGTAGGAGGATCTTTGTTGAATGGCTGGATATAGATCTTGTGCTTCTAGACTCCACTGAGGACTGACGCCTGCACGGAGAGCCCACATAAGCCTTATGGGGGCTTCAAAGAAGTACCTTGGACAAATTCTACAGAGTGGGAGAATAGAGATAGAATGAAGCAGAATGATGAAAAAGGGGTCCCTATGTCCTCCAGCAGTCTAAGCCTATAGCAGCAGAGCTATAGACACAAGTTAGTTAATTTATAATATGACAACAACAAAAAAGCAGGATTTTTTCTCATTCTCCTACTTCTTTGCTCTGACTGAAATGAACCATGACAGATTGTCTGTTCAATGATCTAATCAATTCTCTTTATGTCTCCACAGGAATTTACTTTACAGCCTCCCAGGAAAGACGACTCAGTTCTCCATTCTCAAGTTCTCACAGGAAGTGGCCCTGCATTGCAGCGTGGCCAGCAAGGCAGCGAGGCACTACTCTCTCAATAAGGAAGCACTTTGCCACAGTGCCAGGAACCAATCCCTGTCCCTGATCCTCAGGGCCCTGCACTCATCCGACAGGCTCATCACCTTTGGGCTAGACTTGTTTGAAAATTACCCAAGTGGCACAAAATGATTCCAATGCAGGGACATGAAGACATAAACCTTTACCAAATTCATTCTGCTGTTCAGGAAAAACTAATGATTCCTGTTCATTTTTAAAAATCAAATCTTGCAAAAACAAAAAAAAAATATTTCTTTAAAGCATGAATGTAGCAAAGCCAACTTTTCGCACACATGCTGTAAGATATGCAAATGATAGGGAAATGTGGGTCTGCTTAAATTGCACTAATCTGTCTTCCAATAGGTTTTAAGCTAAACTTAAACGTTCATTTTCTATTTTACTTTCCATGAATTTAGTCCCAATGCCCTCTACCGCTCTGCCTTTTTCTTTTCATCTATCAATCAAGTTAAAACTCCGAAGCAGTAATTCGTAATTCATGTGCAGCTTGAATTAGATTTAGGTTTTTAACAAAAAAAATGTGAGTACAAGTATCTCTTTTCAAAGATGTAGTTTTGGTAAATATACCTAATACTCCATCTCTTTTTGGGGCTATTAGGATCCACTAACGCCATCATAAAGCTTTTGCTATTGTGCACCTAAAAAGGAAA